AAATAAATAAACAAACAAACAGATAGATAAATAAATAACACAATTATGCCAACCCCAGAAAAGACAAGAGTCCAGGAAAGCAAAAACAAAACAAAACAAAATAAAAACCTGATACTCTTTTATTTTGTTTTGTTTTTGGTGGAGTACATATTTTTTCTTTTTTTTTTAAATTAAATTTTTTTCCTTTATTTTACAAACCAACCACAGTTTCCCCTCCCTCCTCTACTCCCCTCCCCCACTCCAATCTATCCCCCTTCCCATAAGTTTTAAGGGCAGCCATCACTGGAGTAGAAAGCCTCTCCTCCCTGTAGAGAGGGACGTCCATCCCTTCTAGTGACCTCCCCTTTGCAGAAGGGGATCTGTCCCTCTAAGGACAGCTGTTTTTCAGTGTCCTAGTTTCTCACAGCTGTGGCAAGAACTTGCCCCTTTAGAATCCTTCCTTTGGCCTGGAGTTTCTGAGGTCATGGGTTACTAACTGCCCGGGAAATTCATTCTTTCCCAGGGCTCAGTGTAACAGCTGGGCTTGTTCTTGATCTACAAGTAGTTTCCTCTAGGCCTTTGGACCTTTCTATGTCAACATCCCAAAACAAATCTACACGTGAACTTGGAGTGTCTAGGGCCTGATGACTTCTGCACTTCTTCCCAATTTATGCAACAGGTTGGCCGGAGAAATAAGCATCTAGCAACTATCTGACCTTAGGAAGCATTTCAATACCGCTGATTACAGTGAACATAATCATGTGTGTACTGTCTAAGTTGGCTCCCATACATCTCATGACTCATTTCCACCTTCTACAATATGTTTTCCCTTTTTCATATTTCCATTTTATTTTATGGATATGGGCATCTACCTGAATGTATGTCTGTGCATCACATGTGTGCCTGGTACCTGTGGAGGCCAGAAGAGGGTGTCGGATCCCCTTGAACTGGAGTTACAAATAATGTGAGCTGCCATATGGGTGCAGAAAATCAAACCCAGGTCCTCTGGAAGAACAGTCAGTGCTCTTAACTGCTGAGCCTTCTCACCAGCCCAGTATACTTCCACTTTAGAACAATATTAGAGAACAAGACTGACATTTAAAATCCTTTTGCATCTTAAAATATTTTCCTTAACCTTCTTTACCAAACCCATATTTTGTGCCAATAACTTTGTTTTTCTTTTAGACAAGGTCTCAGTATATTGCCCTGCCTGGCTTGGAACTATCTGTGTAGACCAGGCTAGCCTCAAACAGAGGTCTGCCTGCCTCTGTCTCCTGATTGCTGGAATTAATGACCTACGCTACCATACTTGGCTTGCCAATAAATTTTTTTAGTTTTTATTTTTTGAGACAGGGTCTCTGTACATATCCCTGGCTGTCCTGGAGCTCATTATGTAGACTAGGCTGGCCTCAAAATCACAGATCTACCTGCCTTTGCTTCTCAAGTGCTGGGATTAAAGGTGGCCAATAATTCTTATGTCTCTTCATTTATTTAATGGTTTCCTTTTTTCTTGTGTTTTTTGTTGTTGTTGTTGTTGTTGTGTTTGTTTGTTTTTTTTTCCGAGACAGGGTTTCTCTGTGTAGCTTTGCGCCTTTCCTGGAACTCACTTGGTAGTCCAGGCTGGCCTCGAACTCACAGAGATCCGCCTGGCTCTGCCTCCCAAGTGCTGGGACTAAAAGCATGTGCCACCACCGCCCGGCTCCTTTTTTCTTTTTGTTGTTGAAAATAATTTTTTTCATGCAGTATATTCTAGTCAGTTTCCTTTCTCCTCCCACCTGTTTACTCAGCCAGATCCACACCTTCTTCCTCTTCAGAAAACAAATGGGCAAAATTTAAAAAAAAATAAAATAAAAAATAAAGAAGAGCACAAGAAACACACACAAAGACACAGGAAAATACAAGCAAAATACTAGTAAGACTAAAAAAAAAATATCCAGACAAAGCAAAATGAGACAAAATCTCTCCAAAAATACTATTGAGTTCATTTTATGTTCCCATCTACCGATAGGATGGTTCCTATACCGATGGTTCCTTTCATCTACAAATGGTTCGTACACCCAGTGAGACCCCATTGGAGAAAACCAATGTTTCCTTTGCAAGTGGTTGTCAGTTGCAAATAGCTTCTTGGTTAGGGGTGGGAGCTCGTGTCCACTTCCCCCCTCAGGGCTGGGACCCGTCTGGCTTGGGTCTGTGCATGCTGCCACAGTCTCTGTGAGTTCATATGCGCATCACTCCTGATGTCTCCGGAAGCCACTGCTTCCTTGGTGTCTTCCATCTCTGCTCTGAGAATCTTTGCTGCGCTTCCTCTTCCGCAGAGTTACTTAATGGTTTCTTTTTATCTTATCTTTAGAAAAAAAATTTCTTAACACTGTAACTGTCTTCAGAAGAAAACACTGGAAGCTTAGCCAGGGCAGATCTAAAGCGGACACTTACTCAGCACTCAAGAGAAACTACAGCAGCAGAGGGGACAGCCCAGAGAGCCTTAATTTGGGGTTTTGTTTGTTTGTTTGTTTGTTTGTTTTTGAGACAGGGTCTTTCTATGTAGCCCTCACTGTCCTGGAATTAGCTATATAGACCAAGCTAGTTTCCAACTCATAGAGATTCCCCTGCCTCTGCTTCCCAAGTGCTGAGTGCTGGGATTTAAAGCAAGTTCTACCATGCCTGACCTTGTGTTTGTTTGTTTGTTTGTTTGTTTGTTTGTTTGTTTGTTTGTTTTGGCCTTGATTAGCCTGTTATTTTGGCCTTGATTATTCAGATCCTCGAGGATGTCCCCCAGTAGGGAAAGAAACAGAAAGCAAGCTTGCTAAGATGATACACACACACACACACACACACACACACACACACACACACACACACCAGTGGTACATGATAAGAAGCAGAGGAGGAGGCTGGGAAAATGACTAAGCAGTGTAGGACACTAGAATGCTTGTTACTTTTACAGAAGACACAGGTTCAATTTCGCAGAACGCCCATGGTGGCTCACTACCATCTGTAACTTTAATTCTGGAGGATCTGATGCCCTCTTCTGGCCTCCCAGGCATGCGCATGGTATGCTGACACACCTGCAGGCAAAACATTCATACATAAAAAATGAATTTTTTTTAACATAACACTAATTGAGAGCTGGTATTGCTTATAACTTCATTAGGAAGTGGGTACTAGGTTTTTTTGTTTTGTTCTGTTTCAAATTTATTTATTTTTATTTTATGTGCATTGGGTTTTTTTTGCCTGCATGTATACCTGTGTGAGGGCGTCAGATCCCCTGGAACTGGAGTTATAGACAGATGTGAACTGCCATGTGGGTGCTGGGAATTGAACCTGGGTCCTCCAGGGGAGGAGTCAATGGTGCTTTTAACTGCTGAGCCATCTCTCCAGCCCCATAAAATGAAAGAGGAGGGAATCCGTTTGGATCCAGGACCACTCCTCCTCCTCCACAGCTCCGACCACACACATCATGCACATGTCGGGTGGGATGCGAGTCCCTCTTCGGTCACCCCAGAATGAAAGTTTTTAAAAATTAGGAACAGGCTAATGTTCAGCAGTAAAGAGCACTGGCTGCTCTTCCAGAGGACCTGAGTTCAATTCCCCAACCCCACATGGCAGCTCTCAACCATCTGTAACTCTAGTTCCAGGGGATCCAATGCACTCTTCTGGCCTCTACAGGCACCAGACACACACATGGTATATATACACACATGTAAGCAAAACACCCACACATATAAAATTAAATTAAATAAGTAAATGTTTAAAAATAAAACTAAAAAGCCTTGGGTGAGGATCAGTAAAAATAAAACTAAAAAGCCTTGGGTGAGGAAGAGCTACAAAGAGAATTTGAAGTCTAGGTTAGAAAGCATGTCAGAAATAAGCAAATATTTAATCTTAGCACTCAGGAGCCAGAGGCAGGAGGATCTCAGTGAGTTCAAGGCCAGCCTGGTCTACATAGAGAGTGCCAGAATAGACAGAATTACATAGAGAGACCCACCACCATGCCTGGGACTAATCATGTTGTTTTTTTAAAGGTTTATTTATTTATTATGTATACAGTATTCTGCCTGCATGTGTCCCAGGCCAGAATAGGGCACCAGATCTCATTACGGGTGGTTGTGAGCCACCATGTGGTTGCTGGGAATTGAACTCAGGACCTCTGGAAGAGCAGTCGGTGCTCTTAACCACTGAGCCATCTCTCCAGCCCCTGACTAGTCATGTTTTATCAGGGAGAAATAGCTTTCCCTCAATGGGCCTCAACAAAGACTGGCTATCCGACCTTTCTCTCTTTCATGTGGTACTTTAAATCTTAAGAAGGGGAGTTGTGATGTCCCTCCCTCCTTTTAAATAGCATTTTAAGTTCTAAGAAGGTCAATGGTGATATTGCAAACCCTCTAAAACTTACTGTTATTAGGGAAATAGGAAACAGGGTTCAAAATTGGTGTGTGTGTGTGTGTGTGTGTGTGTGTGTGTGTGTGTGTGTCCATTCTTACAGTCCCCAAGGCTGCTGAGCCTAACTAACTACCTTACATTCACCCTCTACCTCCTCCTCCTCCTCCTCCTCCTCCTCCTCCTCCTCCTTCTCCTCCAGACTTTTCGAATCCCTGTGGATCAGATCCAGGGCGGGAATGAGCCTCCTGGCTCCACATCACCAATAGCACAGGTCTTCAGGTGGTAAGGAACCACCAAGAGGCTCCTCTTGCCTTTTAAACTACCCAGCATCTGTTAGGTCCTACTTCTTCCCGGTGAAAGAAGCCGGGCATAACCTGTCACTCCCATTCTACAGAAAAGGAAGCCACAGCCCAGAGAGGGCAAAGGGCCTTCCTGAGGCTGCATAATCAATGGCCGTGTGGAGAGCTGGGCCATGCTTCATTTTTGTTCCTCAGTGCCCTGCCCCTCCTCATGACTTGCAGAGACGCTCACCCTGCCCTGCTTTATGAGGCAGCAGCCAGGCTCTCCGTGATGCATTATTCAGCTTCCCAGGGTTGGCCAGCTCCCGTTACACTGGCCACAGCCCTGGACACCTGCTTCTCACTTCCAGTTCCCCTCCAAGGTGCTGTAGTGGTTGTGAGTACCCTGTCCTGTCTCCACTTTGGGCCTGTGCAGGGGGTCTAGGGCAGATGATGTCCCCCTCTGAAGGTTAATGTCCCCCCTCTGTTAAGTGACCATTCTCTTTGAAGCTTAGCCAGCTAGGACACAGGAAGGCTTAGCCAGAGTCAGCAAGGTGTTGCCATGGTGACTCTAAAGCCAGGCTGCTGCCCAGCACAGGCCTCTCAGTCTACCCCCACTAGAAAACAACACCCAAGCACTTTCCACCACCTCTCAAAGGTGAAACCCAAGGCTAGTCTAGAGGATGAATTATGGATCCTGCCTCTCCACGCCACCCAGCCAGTCCCAGCTGCTCAGACACTGAGGAGACTTAGGTCTAGTCACAAGCAAGAAGACCTAGCTGGTCTCCAAGCAGTGCCTCCAAGGCCCCGAACCTGTGACACCAACCCCAGGCCCATCAGGCACAGAGGCCACCATGGCGAAAGAGGAAGATGAAGAGAAGAAAGCTAAGAAAGGAAAGAAGGGCAAGAAGGCCCCGGAGCCAGAGAAACCCAAACGCAGCCTAAAGGGCACCTCTCGGCTGTTCATGGGCTTCCGAGACCGCACGCCCAAGATCTCCAAGAAGGGTCAGTTCCGGAGCGCATCGGCCTTCTTCTGGGGCCTCCACACTGGCCCGCAGAAGACCAAACGCAAGAAGAAGGCCCGTACTGTACTCAAGTCTACCTCCAAGCTCATGACGCAGATGCGTGTGGGCAAAAAGAAGCGAGCGATGAAGGGAAAGAAGCCCTCGTTCATGGTGATCCGCTTCCCGGGACGGCGTGGCTACGGCCGCCTGAGGCCTCGCGCCCAGTCGCTTAGCAAGGCATCCACAGCCATCAATTGGCTGACCAAGAAGTTCCTCCTCAAGAAGGCGGAGGAGTCAGGCAGTGAGCAGGCCACCGTGGATGCCTGGCTCCAGCGCTCAAGCTCCCGAGTGGGCTCGCGAAAGCTGCCCTTCCCGTCGGGCGCTGAGATCCTGCGGCATGGAGGCCGGCTCCGCAGGTTCCCCCGCAGCCACAGCATCTACTCATCCGGGGAGCCCGTGGGCTTCCTGCCCTTTGAGGACGAAGCCCCCTTCCGCCATGCAGGCTCCCGCAAGTCACTGTATGGGCTCGAGGGCTTCCAGGACCTGGGTGAATATTATGACTACCACCGTGAAGGCGACGACTACTATGACCAGCAGTCGCTACACCATTACGAGGAGCAGGAGCCCTACTTGGCTAGGTTTGGTGCATACAGCCCAGCCTGGCCACCCTATGATGACTACGGGTACCCATCCGGAGACCCGTACAACTACTACCATCCTGACTACTATGGTGACACCCTCTACCCGGGCTATGGGTATGGCTATGGCTACGATGATTTTGAGCCCCCATATGCGCCCCCATCAGGGTATTCATCTCCTTACAGCTACCACGACAGCTTTGAGGATGAAGCCTACCCATACAGCTACTACCTGGATCCCTATGCACCTCACCACATGCTGTACCCACCCTATGACTTTCCATATGACACTCCTTATGACATACCCTACTTTGATCCCTACGGCGTCCCCTATACTGAAGGCGTCTATGGTGGTGGGGCTGAGGCCATCTACCCTCCTGGGGTGCCCTATGTATATCCAGAAGAGCCAGCTTTGATGTACCCCTGGGTGCCACCACCCATATTGTCGCCCCACAACCCATATGCCTACCCTATGGATGACATTGCCGAGCTGGAGGAGCCGGAAGAAGTGGGCGGAGAACGGCAGAGCACCTCCTTCCGCCTGCCCAGCGCCGCCTTCTTTGAGCAGCAAGGCATGGACAAGCCAGCCAGATCCAAGCTGTCCCTCATCCGGAAGTTCCGCCTCTTCCCACGGCCTCAGGTGAAGCTGTTTGGGAAGGAGAAGCTAGAGGTGCCCCTGCCACCCTCTCTAGACATCCCTTTGCCTTTAGGGGATGCAGAGGGAGAGGATGAAGAGGAGGAGATGCCTCCAGTGCCCACGATGCCCTACACCCACCCTTACTGGAGCTTCCTCACACCACGCCAGCGAAACCTGCAGCGGGCCCTGTCGGCCTTCCGTGCCCGCCAAGGCCTAGGCTTTGGCCCTGAGTTTGGCCACCCAACACCACGCCCAGCCACCTCGCTGGCGCGGTTCCTCAAAAAGACGCTGTCAGAAAAGAAGCCCATCCCACGGCTCAGGGGCAGCCAAAAGGCCCGAGGGGGGCGGCCCGCAGTCAGGGAAGCAGCCTACAAACGCTTTGGCTACAAGCTGGCCGGCATGGACCCGGATCGGCCCAACACACCCATTGTGCTGAGACGCAGCCAGCCACAGGCTCGAAACAACAACAACTCCCACGGCCCACCCTCACCCAGGCCCACGCCACGGACCCTCACCCACTGGAGCGCACTCATCTCCCCTCCAGCGCCTGGGCCATCTCCCAGCCCTGGCCCACCGCCAGCTCCACCCTTCTCTCCATCCCTTTCCAGGCCTCCACGGCTAGCTTCCCCCTACAGCTCACCCTATGGCTCCCTCCGCCAGCATCCACCACCCTGGGCTGCCCCAGCTCATGTGCCCTTTACACCCCAAGCGAATTGGTGGGGCTTTGCTGAGCCCCCTCCTCTGAGCCCGGAGGTTACCCCTGACCTTCTGGCCTTTCCTGTACCCCGGCCCTCTTTCAGAGCTTCCCGCAGTCGAGGTGCAGCTTTTGGCTTCCCCAGGGCTTCTCTGATAGGGTCAAGGAGAAGGCCCAATCTGCCCTCGCCCCAGCCCTCTTTGAGGAGCCTGCCAGGGCAAGGCTACCACTCACCTTTGGGGCCATTGTCTCCTCAGCTATCCCTCCGAAGGGGCCCCTTCCAGCCACCCTTCCCACCCCCTCCACGGAGGCCTCAGTCACTTCGGGAGACCTTCTCTCTGCATAGAACCTCTGGGCGCCTGCGCCCACCCCGCTCACCAGTGCTAGGTCCCCGCCGACCACCCTCACCACCCCCACTCCTGAACCATGGTCCCCGGCACCGGTCCCTCAACCTGCCCTCACGCCTTCCACGGACCTGGCGGCGCCTCAGTGAGCCACCTACCCGGGCCGTGAAGCCATGGGTACATAGGCCCTACCACCCACCACCCAGTGCTGGACCCTGGGCCACAGGGTCTTTGGAGCACCAAGAGAACCAGCATGAGCCAGAAGACTCAGAGACGCCTTGGACAGTGCCCCCACTGGCCCCCAGCTGGGATGTGGACATGCCTTCAACACAGCGCCCACCTTCTCCATGGCCAGAAAGTGCAGGCAGCCTCAGAGGCTTCTCCAGGACTTCTCCTGTGCCTGAAAACCCCTTGCATGAGCACATGAGCCCTGTGCATGAACCACAGCCCGAGGACCAAGCCTCCAATCTAACTGGTATCTTCCTGAGCCAACACCATGACCCAGGGCCTGGGCAACTCACCGAGTCAGCCAGCCCAAGCTTGGAGAATCCTGAAGAGGCAGTCACCCCCGGGGACCCTCAGCCACCAGCTGAGCCTGAGACCCTGAACCCAACACCTCCCAACAAAAATATTTGCTCAGAGAGGAAGGATTTACAACTCAGCCTCTCATACCCACTGGTCACACATAAGCAGGCAAGGGCTACATGGCCACTATGGCGACGCTGGAAGACATTGTCCAGAACCCCAGCTCCCTTGGCCCCCACCAGAGCCCCAGGACCCTTGTTCAAGACAGGGAAGAAACCCCAGGCTGAGCCTGGGCGGTTCGCGGTCGTCATGCCTCAAGTACGAGGGCTGAGCTCCTTCCAGCGACAAGGGTCTGCTCCCCTGCAGCCTCCAGAGCACCCAGACCGAGACCCAGAGCATGGCCCAGCACCTAAAGCCTGTAGTCTACGCTGGCCCCGCCTCTGGCCACCAACAGATGCTCACTGTCCCTGGCCACAAGTACAAACCCACTCCTTTCAATCCTACCTCCGGGGCCGTAGAAGTGACTGCCTGTCTCAAAGGGGCCCCTGGAAAAAGCATGGCCCCCAAAGCTGGCAGAACAAGGTATGGGGGCACAAGTCAGAGGGTGGGATTGGGAGTTCTGGCCTAAGACCCAGAACGGGAGGTGGCCTGAGGAGGCATGGGCAGCCTCAGCAAGTGGTTGTCTACATGGACCTCTGTCTCCCTTCTGAAGGTGAGGAGAACTGCCTGGACCTTGCAGGGCATCTGAGGGTTGCCCAAAGGAGTGTCCAGAACAGGCAGGCCCTGGATTAAAGGACTAGATGAAGGTAGATGTACAGGATCCTACTTTCTGACTGTCTCATGGCAGAGTAGGGAAACTGAGTCCCAGAAGCCAGGAGTCTGTGGGGGTATAGGCAGGCAGTCTGTCTCAGGGAGCCCAAGTCCATGACTGGCATCGGCGTACAAGGGGGAAGGTGATCTGGATGCTGGGTGGCCCTTGGAGGAGGTAGATGATCACTCTAGCCTCCCTGGGGACACCCAGAAGGGGTGGGGCAAGCAATGATAGGCGGTACTTCATCTCTGCAGACCGTGCCCACAGAGCAGGCAACAAGCTGGCCTAGCAATGGCAACCGGGGCAGCCTGGCTGCTAGGGGGACCCTGGCCCCGGCGACGGGTGCCCCGGGCTGTGTGGGCTGCAGCATTGCGGGAGCGGGGCACGGGGTGCCCAGGGGTGAGGGGCAAGGATGCCTGGGCCCTCCTCACTCTGGAATACGTGAGTGGCTGAATTATTCAGGGTCTGTGGCCGCTGGCAAGCACGTGAGCAGATGGGTGGGCTGGAGGCCAGGGCAGGAAGGGTTGATACTTGCTGCGCCCTACTTAACAACAGCGTGAGGCAGGCCGCGGCCAGGCCCTCTTGTATCCTCTTTCCTTGCCCAGGGAGGGTGCAGCTGGGATGGGAAAGGCCAAGGCTGCCTATGTGTATGCTCGCAGTGACCCAGAGCCTTGCAGGTCCGTGTGCCTGAATGTGGATGAGTAAATACCAGGGACAAGCAAGGAGAGCGGGTGTGTGCCAAGTCTGAGCAGACATGGCATCCATGGAGATGTGGGCTATCGGCCTACCCTTTGAGTGGGCACATACATGTGTACATATAAATGGACACTGTGGAGATCCGTCAGCCCCAGGCTGACATCAGGACTCCCATTCTCAAGCTCCTCAAGGTGGGAGGACCATAGCTGCTGCCCACAGGGACATTCCAAGTGGATGTTGAGAATACCGATATGAGTGTGTGCCCCCAGTCAAGCACATGGGCATGCACCTAGCCACAGCATACGGAAAGACCACAGATATGCATGGGAGCTGTGAGAACTGCAGTACCACTCCAGTAGGTCCATGTGCAGGACCTTACACACTTACCCTGGGCAGGAGGTGGTTCCATGCTGGGACAACCTCCATCTTCGTCTTTCCAGAGGCCTCACGTGCCCTGACACAGGTGTCCATCAAGCTGTCACGCAAGCCAACACACGGGATCTGTGGGGAGCAGGGCAGGGACACTGAGAAGACAGAGGTGGGGGAGGAGACAGACACTTGTGTATGTGGTTGTGAATGTATCTGTGTGTGCCCGCTCCCTGAGCAGGACACTTGTGGCGCATAGGCATGCTCCCCCAAGACACTTCACACACAGACTCATGTCCCTGTGCGTGACGGTTGTACACAGTCTTCATGGGCCACTGCACCCTGAGACAAAGAGGCTGGAAGACCCCCAGGATCTAACCTGGAAGTTCCTCTGGGACCATGGGAGCAGCTGCCTGGTGTGTCCAGGCCAGGGTCTGCCCAGGCCTCCAGCGTGTCCCTCTTTCTCACAGATGCACTCCATCCGCAACCTGCCTTCTGTGCGGTCCCGTGAGCAGCACAGGGAAGACGGTGTGGAGGACATGACGCAGCTTCAGTAAGTGGGTGGGGTAGGGGGACCTCCTCGTGGGATTCCTGAACTCCCAACCCCGATGGACGCATCCAGAGTCTCAGTTTCCCCGTTTGCAAATAGTGTCATGACGTGTCGCAGAAGCCAAGCGTGTGCACACCAAAGCTTTGTGAGTTAGACAGTCCTTGGTTCAGATCCCAGCCTTACCACTTACCAGCTAGCTGTGCAGCCATGGGCCTATCATTTCTCTGCTCTGTGCCTCAATTTCTCATCCACAAGGGAGGTATGATGGGCAGCTGCTGTGAAATAATGACAGATGTCGTAAAGCCCTAAAGCTCTCCATCCATAGTAATTCAGCCTCAGGTCTTCTGCCTCAGTGCCCACCAGGGTCCCACAAAGTGGGTATGAGGTTTGCTACCCCATTGAACAGATGAAGAAACTGAGGCATAAGAAGATGAACGATCTTGCCCAAGACTCATAGCTGGTCAATGGCAGACAAGGGCTTAATCTCAGACACAGCTGACCATGACACCATGCCAAGTAGGGTGGATCCTGTGCCAGGACTGGAGACCCTCACAGTACCTCATGTCCTTCCAGAGACCTCCAAGAGACCACTGTGCTATCCAACCTGAAGACCAGATTTGAACGAAACCTCATCTATGTAAGTCTGGGACTTGCCAGTCCAAGGATCTCCTTGGATTCTAGACTAGAGGTGGCCAGAAGGGTGGAGGGGAACCTGTGACCTCAGAGTTAAGGGACAGAGGGCCTGAGGCCTGGAGCCACTTCCGAAAGACATGTATACCTGTAAAGGCTTCGATGACTTCAAGGCACATGAGCTACCTGCTTCTCTGTTCTAGACAGTGGAGGTTGACCTTGGCATGGAGCAGACATGCCTGCAGCCTGGGCCTGACCATGAATAAATGAGGCGGGCGGGAGATTACATGCCATCTTGGCCTGATTAAGGCCAAAGAGCCTGGTTCCGTTCACACAACTTTAGCCTGTCCAGAGCCTAGGGTTCATTAGAGCTCAGACCCTCTTGCGCTGGAGAGGGTTAGATGATGGAGTGAGGCCAGGGAGGCACACATATGTCCCATTGGAAAGGGACTCCTTGCTCCAAAGCAGGAAGAGGGAGCCATAGATGCCCATGGCAACCGTGACGCTAAAGTCCCCGTCTATCAGCAGACCTATATCGGCAGCATTCTGGTGTCGGTGAACCCATACCAGATGTTTTCCATCTACGGGCCAGAGCAGGTGCAGCAGTACAGCGGGCGTGCCCTGGGAGAGAATCCCCCGTGAGTATCTGTGGGGTGCAGAGGGGTTGCCCTAGGGTGACCTGGGTCCTCTTCTGAGCTTGGGGAGCCCCCGGATGCCTTTCAGCCATCAGTTGGGGATGAGTGGGAGTAGGCAACCCACAACTCAGTGCAGTCTCTCCCCAGGTTTGGCACGGTCTCCTCTAGAGGTCACTGTAGCTCTGACTGGGGGTGAGAGGTGGGTAGTGCAGGCTGAATTAGACCTGAGACTGAATTGCTATGGTGGGTAGCGCTGGTGGGTAGCTCTGCTGAACAGAGAAACCCCTTCCCCTAAGCCCTGGCAGTCTTGGGACTGTGGGAACTGACTGTCAGAGACAGTGATGCCTAGTGCTCTGTCTCACCAGGCACCTCTTTGCAATTGCTAATCTCGCCTACGCCAAAATGCTTGATGCCAAACAAAACCAGTGTGTCATCATCAGGTGAGCCGAGCTGCGCTCAGGTCGCTTTGCATCCAGACATCTAGATGGTGAGATGCGAACCCACTATGAGTGCCCAGGAAGGGCACTGGGTCCCTCTGGGCCACCCCATGGCTTATGGGTTGGAGTGGGTGTGGAGAGGCCGAGAAAAGCTGACGCGCTGGCCCTGTGTCCGGCCAGTGGGGAGAGTGGTTCTGGAAAAACTGAGGCCACGAAGCTGATTCTCCGCTGCCTGGCTGCCATGAACCAGAGGAGGGACGTCATGCAGCAGGTAAGAACTACTGTCAAGCCAGCATGCGGTTGCCCTGTCTGCTTCGGATCGCCAGCCCACCCTTGCTGAGACCAGGCTCTTTGCTGAGTACACCCCCAAGAGACCAGGCTCTTGACTGTGCACTTGGATGGAGGGAGACTGAATTCCAGATAGGCCAGCAGGGGTGGCTCAATGCAGGGCTTCTCTGTCTTCCATCTTCCCCAGGGAAGTGCCAAGGGACAGACAGGTAAGCCATTCTTACTTTCTAGCGTCTCCAGCCTGATCATGTCTTTCTGGTTATGGCACAGGACCACCATAGTCTCATACCCAGATGCTGAACAAGTTCATATGTGGCCATAGCATGAGGCAGAGGCAGCAGCAGACTTCAGGTTTGCTGATCAGACATGAGAACACTAAATCCTGCACCCCGACGCCACCCTTGGAAGTTCATCCATTCCCTCAGTAAAGGTTTACAGAGGCCTTACTGTGTTCTGGACTCGGCAAGGAACAGAGCATCTCATGACAATGTTTACAACTGTGTGGGAGTTACATTCCAAGGCAGGGGGTGGAGAAGAAGAAAATCTAAGTAACTGTGAAGTAAATTATGTATACCGGAAAGAGTAGTATTAGTGTATGTGGAGGAGAAAAAAAAAGGAGGGTGGAGGAAAGAGAGAGAGAGAACCAGGGAGCATCTTTATAAGCACGAAGCAGAGATGAGGCCCTGAGCAGACCCGAGAAGAGGGAGGAGGCCAAGGAGAGATCTTGTGCAAGGATGCAGGCAGGTTTAGGGTGCCCACAGGACATCAGAGTGGCAATGTGGAGTCTGGATCAGAGAGGCCAGGGGCTCAGGTGCCAGTGTCTGTGGCACTCGGTGTACAAGAATGCATTCAGGTGCAGGGCAAAGCCAGCCAGGGACGTGCCACAGTGTGATCCAGTCACAGTGTGAAGAGGGCTAAACCAAGAGTGACCACAGGCAGCGTGGATGAAGAGGAACTGCTGAGAAGAGGTGCCCATCAGGTGTCCACTCAGGTGATGGGAATCCAGGGCTCAGTGTCCAGAACCATGGCCTCTCAAAATTCCCGGCTGGCAAATGGCTATAAAGCTACAACTGGTGGCCATCTTGGCAGGACCTCTTGGGGGTTGACTCATGCCCTCTCTGCTCTAGGCAGTTTTCAGTTTCTTCTACATGTCTGGGGGAGCCCATGAGGTAGGCAGGGAGAGATGTGGGCTCCATGGGTTCCTCCTTGGGCTGGGTGTCTTCCAAACACCCTCATGGAGCCTCGTGGCGTCCCTTGGAAATGGTGTCTGGGATCACCTGCAGATGAGAACCTGATGTCTGGGAAGACCAGTGACTTGTCTGGTGTCCCCAGATGAGGTGACAGGGCAGGGATTTACTTTCCATGGCAAGAGGTGTGTGGAAGACAAGTGAGGATGTGTAACATACTGGATCTGAGAGTTTCTAGGCTAGGCACACAGCATGAGGGCATTGGACAGGTCAGGTCTAGGGTCAGTTTAAGGCATGGCTGGATCTAGGGTCTTAACCCACTGGGCATGCCTTGACCCACCCTCATACACTCTGGTCAGCAAAATGGTGGTGTGGTACCTCCCTCATTTCAGGAAAAAGGTCCATCTCATTGAGTAGCTTTGGTCGTGTATCCTCACTAGACCAATCACACAACAGGGGCCCTTCTCCTTCCTGCAAAGTTTATATATACCCTAGGCTATGAGAACATGCCCCCCCCCCCCGACACACACACAGTTTTCTGGCTTCATGTCACATCCTGTGCTGAGTACCAGGAGCAGAGAAGG